GCTACGAGTACCTGGTTTAAGGACCATGGTATCCCTGTTCTTAATTGGCCAGCAAACTCGCCTGACCTTAACCCTATAGAAAATCTATGGGGTATTGTGAAGAGGAAGATGCGATACACCAGACCCAACAATGCAGAAGAGCTGAAGGCCACTATCAGAGCAACCTGGGCTCTCATAAAACCTGAGCAGTGCCACAGACTGATCGACTCCATGCCACGCCGCATTGCTGCAGTAATTCAGGCAAAAGGAGCCCCAACTAAGTATTGAGTGCTGTACATGCTCGTACTTTTCATGTTCATACTTTTCAGTTGGCCAACATTTCTAAAAATCCTTTTTTTGTATTGGTCTTAAGTAATATTCTAATTTTCAGAGATACTGAATTTGGGATTTTCATTAGTTGCCAGTTTTAATCATCACAATTAAATGAAATAAACATTTGAAATATATCAGTCTGTGTGTAATGAATGAATATAATATCCAAGTTTCACTTTTTGAATAGAATTACTGAAATAAATCAACTTTTTGATGATATTCTATATATATATATGACCAGCACCTGTATATGGTCCAACGTACGTGGACACCGAAACATTACACCTCAAACCATGGGTATTAATATTCTCATACAACAGCCTCCACTCCTCTACTGTAGTTTCAGGCTTTACGCCAGATTTTGTAACCTGGCTGCAGAGATTTGCTCCCGTTCAGCCGCAAAAGCATTAGTGAGGTCCAACACTGATGTTGGGTGATGAGGCCTGGGCTGGCTCACAATCAGCATTTCAGTTCATCCCAAAGGTATAAGATGAGAAGAGACGAGAGGCAGACGTGCTGGTGAAAGGGACATGCAGGTGTAAAAACAACAGGGAGTCAATTGTTGGAATTTGCATAAACAATTGTACTCCTTCTAGGGGTCTGAACAAATCTGAACACACAAACATGATGAGTGGCTTACATGAGTGCTCCTTTTAACACTAGAACTTGCCTGAGAATCATCACGTTTTTAAGTTTTCTTCAGTTTCTAAGTAATGCAGTGATAGTTGTGTATACATCTGTGGGTACACTGCAAACAGGTGCTGCTAATAGCTAATTTAGCATACTTTTAAGGGTGTCGATTTGCCTAAATGTAAAAAAGGTTGTAGTCAATCCACAAACTCCATGGCAACATTATACTTCCATTTCACATCCCTCAAGGCATTATGGGACCTGTAGTTCCAAACTTAGAGCATTCCTTTTTGATTATCTACTTATTTTAATGCAGCAAAGAATTGTTTGTTTGATCATTAATTATATTTTATTGAACAAAGGATCAAACACCATGCAAGATGCGCAACAACCCCATCACATATACTATCGTACTGTCTAGATCTCTGCGGTGGTGAAAGACGTAGGCTACTCAGATCTTTACATAACAGTCATGCATTTAAAATGTTACTAAAAGTAGGCCAACAAAAGTAATAACATCAAAATATACTTAAAGTACCAAAAGTAAAGGTACTCGTTTTAGAAAAAGTCCCATTTCAGAATAATTTACTGTATATTATGTTATCTGATTACTGATGTATTAATGATTTAATGTTGCAGTTGGTAAATGTGGAACTAGTTTTATTGTATTTATATATATTATTACTATATACTGTTGGATCGCTTATAAATGTTTCCCCCTTGGGATCAGTACCGTCTTATTGATATAACAATATCAAAATTTATGTGTGGACTATATTTTGTATCATGAAAGAGTAAAAGGTTGCAGTATTTCCCTCTGAATAGTAGTGGAGTAGAAGTATAAAGTAGCAGAAAATGGAAATACTCAAGTACAAGTACCTCAGAAGGGAGCTTAATTACTATACTTGAGTAAATCACCCACCACTGATTTTGACAGATGGGTGCCCTCTGTCGGCCAAAGTGTCAAGTTGCACTGAGCTTTATTTAACAGCAGCAGCTGTTCACAACAGTTTGTTAAGAGGAGGGAGACAAAAAGCTTTGGGTGGACAGTGATTTGTCCAACAGTACCATTGCTGGCAATACCACTTTGCTTCCTGACACCACGGTAGACTTTACATTTTTAGAAAAGAAGAACAAGGATAGCGAGTTTAGTTTGAATTCAGACACCATACAGGCATAGTATATTGACAGTTACCACAGTTATGTCCAGATCTACACAGATGTTTCAAAGAGTTTGATTAATAAAATAGGAGTCACTCTTGTTGTTCGACAGTTTTACATAAGAATAGTGAAAAGAATCAGTGATGAATTATCAGTTTACACAGGAGAAATTCTTGCAATGCAGTGGATAGAGGATATGGGACCAAGCAATCATTTGTTCAGACTCAAGTTCATCACTAGCCAGTATACAGAACAGTCATTCAGTCATTCAGAATTCAAATGATAGGTCTTACAGTCCTATTTTATGGGTAGTACCACACATGCTGGTATCAAAGGAAATGAAGTGGCAGATGAGTTTGAAAATGGTTTTTCAGAGTTCAGAGGAAAGTGGGATGAGTGAGATGTGCAGGGAGGAACAGGAGAGATGAGACAATCCTGTCAAGACTTCGATTTGAACACACTGGATTAAGTAGTCCATTATTCAACATAATTCAGGCAGTTGTGAGTGCTGTGAGCAATAAACAGTGGAGCATGTGATGATACTTTCAGACTTCTATGAGGAAGAAGGAAGGCAGATGACCCAAAACCTCATCATCTTAACATCTTAGACTAACTACAACCCCAGTTCCAATGAAGTTTGGACGTTGTGTATGATACAGATACAGAATACAATCCTTTTCAACCTATGTTCAATTGAATACACCACAAAGACAAGATATTTAATGTTCAAACTGATAAACTTTACTGTATTTTGCAAATATTCACTCACTTTGAATTTGATGCCTGCAACACAAAAAAGATCAATAATCTGTCTAACTAAGAGAGGCCTGCAACACAAAAAAGCTGGGACAGGGGTTTACCTCTGCGTTACATCACCTTTCCTTTTAACAACACTCAATAAGCGTGTGGGAACTGAGGACCCTAATTGTTGAAGCTTTGTGGGTGGAATTCTTTCCCATTCTTGCTTGATGTACAACTTCAGTTGCTCAACAGTCCGGGGTCTCCGTTGTCGTATTTTACGCATCATAATGCGCCACACATTTTCAATGGGAGACAGGTCTGGACTGCAGGCTGGCCAGTCTAGTACCCGCACTCTTTTACTACGAAGCCACGCTGTTGTAACACGTGCAGGATGTGGCTTGGCATTGTCTTGAAAGTGATGAACCTCGCCCCGTCCTTGCTTGTGAATGACTGAGCCTTTCGGGGATACTCCTTTTATACCCAATCATGACACTCACCTGTTTCCAGTTAACCTGTTCACCTGTGGAATGTTCCAAACAGGTGTTTTATGAGCATTCCTCAACTTTCCCAGTCTTTTGTTGCCCCTTTGGAACATGTTGCAGGCATCAAATTCAAAGTGAGGGAACATTTGCAAAAAACGATAAAGTTTATCAGTTTGAACATTAAATATCTTGTCTTCATAGTGTATTAAATTGAATATAGGTTGAAAAGGATTTGCAAATGAATGTATTCTGGTTTTATTTACGTTTTACACAACGTCCCAACATTAGAATTGGGGTTGAGAGGATATGAGTTTTTTTAAAATAGTGTTGTCATTCTGATCCGACCTCCAGGGAGGAAAATGGAGTCCGAGGAGTATATGGAGAGCGAAGCAGTAAAGGAAGAGGACCTGAGAGGTGTTGTGAATAAGAAAAGGAAGAAGGATAGTGTTTCACATGATGCCAGCCAGTCGTGTTGGTGTGACACGAACGGATGGGATCTTTGCACAAGGTCAGAAAGTTTACCAGAGGAAAACTTTGAGATGTGAGGTCAAGTAGGACAACAAGAAGCGGGATCGTTGTTATTGATTGTTTGTCAAGGTGACAGAGAGATAAAGCTCTGAGCTCTTTCCTAATCAGGTCAGGAATCAAGAGAAAAGGAGTGATAAGTGGCGTACCGCTGTCAATGCAGGACAAGGCATTTCGGAGTATTCAAAATGTCTGTGAAGCAAGAAGACTGACACAATTTCGACAAGGGCAGAGGAAGGAAAGTAATTTGGCGTGTCTGACCTTTGAGGGGGAATTGCCAGAAAGAATATATTTAGATTATATATCTTACTGGGAGAGGCTGTATGAAAGAGCTCCACTCAGGCGCTTCTGCTGTCACTAATATGGACATGTTGCTGCAGTGTGTAGAGGAGTCGGAAGATGTGGGATCAACAGCTGTAAAAGAGAGGAGTGTGAAGAAGAGCAGGAGCCAGTCAGCACAATGTCTGAGACAAATAAAAGAAATGAAAGTGAGTAAAATCAGAGTGAAAGAGGGTCTGTCATATATGCCGAAGCTACCAAGAGACTGGAAAGAAAGGAGGAACGAGTGGAAAAGAAACAGCAGCCAAAAAGGAATGGAGAGAGGATCAGAATATGGTCTGCATCGACAAGAGGCAATTTCTGGCATTTATTGCCATGGTGGTAAATTGTGCAATTGAAATAAAGAGCAAGTCAGAGAGGATTAAGATGGTGTTGGATGCTGCAAGCAGATTCTTGGACACTGTGGACATAACAGGAGAAGAAACATCTAGACATTCCTCTGAGGGAAGCGTTTACATCAACTCAGCCAACCGAGTCTGACTCATAAAACTGACAATGCATTGAATGGGAATCCTCAGGGTGGTCACTGTAAAGCGTTTGCACTGGGAAAACTATTTTATACAGTAGCCTAGGTGGCGGTAATGCAACAATTTGGATGCCAACCGCCATAAAACCTCAAAGAAGAAGAAGAAGAAGATCTACCCTCCATACCGGTTGGTGGCGGTAATGCACCAATTCTTTGTTTGCCAACAGTGAAGAGAATTCAGAAGAACAAGAAGAACAAGCGTTTGTTTATGGTTTGTTTGCAAGTTTGTCCAGGCGAGTAGCTATTTGTTGCCTTCTTTCTGAGTAGGTTGACGTGTTATATTATAACAGATACGTTGCAGTACACTTGTAAACTTAAACTTGTAAACTTACTTGTAAACGTTTCAGTGTTTGACGCGCACATCTAATTATCGTTCCTCTTCTGGGAGACGAGCGCACGTCATACAATAACAATAACCAATAACCTAAACAATAACCTCTGAGCAATCTCAGTGCCTACAATTTAAACCAAAGTCCTTATAAGCTCTGATTAAACTCACCAGCTGTGTGTGTGATCATATCATAAAACAGGTGTTACATCTGTCTGTGCATACTCTGCAGATTCTGTGATCAAGGAGCTTCAGCTGTACTGCCTTTGTAAAACTTATTTTTTTACATCGACACATACTGTAACTGCACAGCAAACGTTATTACAGTAGATGGTAAACTCCACTGTATTAAGAAGTTAAACTATAACAAACTATAACGTCGGAAACGTGACCCGCGGCTAGTCTGCCTCTTCTTTTCTAGGCAGGCTAACTTATTGTTGACCTTTACCCTAGAATAACCTGATCTGTCTCTGTCTGTTTCAAGGTAAAAGGTAGAAGGTTGTTTATTTGTTTCAGATTTGTGAAACCTTTATTCTGTTTGTGAAAATGAAAAAAAAAAAGGGCGATTTGGCGTTTGATATTAATTATATTATTTGCAGGTAATCCACATTAGAGCAGGTCCAGATCAAAAACCACCATACCCAGAGCTGTCAAATCTGGACTAGATTGTTGCAGAGTCTTTAAAACACAGTTTCAGGTTTATGAAATGTTTATTCTATTTGTGAAAATGGAAAAAGGGTCAATATGTATTTTTTGCATACCCAGATCAAAAACCACAATGACTAGATTGTCCCAGAGAGGCAAAAGAGTCTTTAAAACACTGTTTCAGATTTGTGAAAGCTTTATTCTATTTGTGAAAATGAAGAAAGGGCCGATTTATATGTATTTTACAGCAAGACTAGACAGTTGGTTGCAATTCACAACCTCCACACTAGATGCCACTAAATACACTTAACCTTTAAAAAGCAACATTTCTGTGCTCAGCTATTTTCATACAAATTTTATTCCATTCCTCAGTCAATATTTAGAAATCTTTTTTTGTGTTGGTAAATAATCAGTGATTAGTGATTTTTTTATTCACTTCATTTATATCAGTCACTGGTGTTGATGAAATATTGTGAGCCAGGTTCAGGTGTGAAGAAGTTTCGGAGACTGATAAAGACTTAACATTGCATGATTATTTGAGCCCAGCCAAGGAGATACAGAGCCAGCATACAACATGTGAACACGTCAAATGCCAACACCAAATCTGAAGCGTAACATCTTTTGGTCCCTTTTATGTTTCTGTCTTCCCCGTAGTGCCTGTGGGATTTCCCTCTTAGGTCATCTTTAGCTGGCCTTAACATAGAACAACTAATCTATCTGATGTTTAGACTCCAAGAACATGTGAAAAATAACTAGTGCTGGAAGGTCAGTGAACACTTGTGGGGTCATCTAATGACTCTAAGGTAGACCTGTCTAACTTTTCCCTGTTACATCAATTAAGCCCCGTAAGAAATATCTTCAACAACTGGATGTTTAATTTCTCTGGTTCCTGATGTAGTTATTAGGTTGCTACTTTTTGGGAGTACAGATGAAACAAAACGTTACAGTGAAGCCCTTCTATGTCGCATTGCCTAAAAAATGTCAAAAGTCAAAGAATGAAAGTATCTTTAGTTTCAGGTGAGATGTCCTCCCAAGTCAGACTGAGGCTGCTGCCGAGCGCCAGGTGTTTGTTTGACGAGCCCATTCAGGTGAAGGTGGCCGGGCTGAGGTCGAGACAGGTGGTCTCCATGAAAGCCAGATCAACTGACGAGAAAGGAGTGGTGTTCAGCTCCTCAGCCACCTACAGGGCTGATGGGAGCGGGGAGATCGACCTGAAGAGAGACCCCTCGCTCAGTGGCAGCTACGTCGGGGTTGAACCCATGGGTCTGCTGTGGTCGATGAGGGCGGACACCTTACATAAGTACTTTTTCAAGAACAATTCCTTAAACCCACATGTGGTGAAGTTCTCTGTACATGAGGGGGAGGAAAGGATGCTGGCAGAGGTGAACAACGAGAGGCTTCTGATTGGAGACGGGGTCAGCCGGCTCCCTGTCAAAGAGGGGAATATGCGTGGAGTCCTGTTTACTCCCCCAGGTAGGAGATTCAACATAGTTTAATTACAACCTAATAGTGTTTTATTATGACTATATAACAACTGTTTATTTATTAGGCCACCATAGCAATACCATGACATCTTGTGCTGCCACAGTCGATAAATGGAATGCAGCCACCATTAATAACTTTAAAAAATATACATAGATTAATCGATTATGAAAATTATTAACAGCTGCAGCCCTATAACGTGTTTCTGTAATGAGGCTTAGAGCTGTTACAGAATACTTGAGTCAAGCTTATATTGAGTTGTACCCCATAGACACTGACCTCAGTATTTGCTGCTTTTTTAAAAAATTTTATTTAATTAGTTAAACTGTGTAAAGGTGTGGTTGTAGCAGTGATATCAGTTTAGTGACTCTGCATCAAAAGGATGCACATTATGTAAGTTTTTATATGATCTACTGTTGACATTTACTCGTATGTGTATGTTCCAGGAGAAGGTCCGTTTCCTGCTGTGTTGGATCTGAGCACCTTTCCATCTGAGAAAAGAGCCTCTCTGCTGGCAAACAAAGGGTTTGTGGTTCTGGCTGTAGCGGTGTACACTGATAAGCCTGACAACGTGAAAGAGCTCCATCTGGACCACTTTAAAGAAGCAGTGGATTTCTTACAACAACATCCTAAGGTGAGTAGTTTGCGTAACTTTTAAACCCAGCAGCATAAAGTCACAAGCCTTTGATTCTGACATGTTCAGTGGTAAGCAGCTATTGATTCAGTGTGTATTTTGCGATTTTAACAAAGTTAAATCTGCAGTAACTAATACATTTTTTGGCCACTGTGGGGCAGCGGAAACACGTTATAATTGCAAAACATATCCCTTTTATGTTGACATGGTAAACGTGCTAGCAAACTTATTTACACATCCAGCTGTTATGCATCAACATTAACATTCATTTGGAGTCATGAAAGTCAAATAGTCACTCTCTTATAGCTCTGTTTATGGACTCCACCAACTCCAGAGGGAAATTTAGCTGCTAAGTGCTCCACTATGTTCTCCAGCTAGTGCTAAACTTTGTCAGCTGAGAGAGCGGTGACAAGTCAGACAGATAAACAATGAGAACTCGCTAAAACTCTCTCTGTTATTCTAAAAATAACAATGTGAAAGGTTGAAACATTATTATTCTAAAAAAAAACCGATTACAACTGCTTCAAATAATATTATATTGTTCTGGACACCCATGGCACTGGGCCTAAAGCCAGCAGCCACTTTTCTGGCTCTGTCTAAAGGTTCCAACGCCCACCTACCAGCACCTCTAAATCTTACAAATTACCATGTAATATCTTGCTGATTTAATCTACACAAAACCCAGTGTAATATCCATTGTGCATTTTACGGGGGTTATATGCTGGACTCTTCTTGGCTGGCTCTTATTTGAAGCTTAAAATTGACATTTATGCGAATTATTGTGTCATAAAGGTTTATTTTGAAGTGTGCTAAGCAGTTAATTGGGTCCTCTGTCAATACACTACACAGTGTGCACTTTTGGTGGTAGTAACGCATTACTAATAAATATGTTCCTTAGATCTCAAGAGCTTGCACTCAACATTGCACTGCCTTGGATCCTCAGCGTGAAGGCGATCGGCTGAACCGTTTTTGAGAAAATCATGAGACAGGCAGAGACTCCTTCCATTTTAGTTAGATTAGCGAAAGGTCGTACTACTTTCAAAATAGGTGTTTTTACATGTTTTTATATAGTTTTATCATACAATTGACTAATTATGTTGATAATACAGTTTTTTTCAAAGTTGATTGATCCACCATGCTTGAGTAGACCTCCACATTTGGTCCAGTTTTTACACTGTTATCCTGATTCACCTTCGTAGCCCAGTTCCTGAGCTCTGTGTTTATTATATCGTGTTGCATTTATTTTCTTTATTTTCCTCCCAGGTGGGCAGTAAAGGAGTTGGTATAATATCACGATCAAAGGGGGCAGATATTGCGCTTTCACTTGCTGCTTATGTGCCAGGTGTTGAGGCCACAGTGTGGATCAACGGCAGCAACGCCAATATAGCTGTTCCTCTATACTACAGGAAACGCCAAATCCTCACACCATTACTGTACGACTCCAGCAAGGTGATTACCACAAATTCAGGGGCTATCGTTATCAAGTACAGTGTTAAAAATCCCCTGGCAGAGGAAAACAAGGGCAGCCTGGTCCCCATTGAACAAGCCAAGGGACGTTTCCTGTTTGTGGCTTCAGAGGACGACCTCAACTGGGACAGTAAAGGTTACATGGATGAGATGGTGGAGAGACTGAAGCGTCATGGGAAGGATAACTTTGAGACTGTGTATTACCCGAGAGCTGGACACCTACTGGAGCCGCCTTATGGACCGTTCTGTCCCTCCGCTTTACATGGGCTCCTCAGCAGTTCAGTGCTGTGGGGGGGTGAGCCGGTGGCTCACGCAGCAGCTGAAGTCCACATGTGGAAGAAGATCCAGGAGTTCTTACGATCTCAGCTGAGCTGTGATGCTACTCGTACTAAAGCCAAATTATAGATGCAAATTGGATGATAGGAAATACTTCAAGGCTGCTAATTGAAGGTGGGGTGTGCGATTCTGGATAAATCCAATACCATGACAAATATCACGATATAGAGCGCACAGCGACACAGCAAGTAATGTAACTAACATTAGATAAGTTGTGGCTACAGTTGCTGCTGCGAAGCTAACACAGACAGCGATACTCACAACTCTCCTGCTACTGTAGCTAACATCACAACCACTGCCTATCCTGGAGAACTAGAAAGTAAGCTTAGTGTGTGTGCAGTAATTTAAAGTTACCTGACACACAAATCATGACTGGAATAGTGTTGTGTGACGTTTTCCAAGCCACTTTGTTTGTTTGGGCTGTTTTCAAACACCAGACAGAACGGACAGCTATCTGAGCGTGAGAAGATATTCACTGAATTTGACAAAAAGATATGTATTGGATTAGAATTGCATACCCCACCTTTAACTCTAGTATAATCATGTGTGAATGTGTGTTAATGTTTTGTAATGAATAGAACCATTTAATATTTGATTGATAATAGGTGATATCGCTTCTTGTAAGGCTATGAAAACAGGGTGCATGCTCACTACATTTAAAGGAGAAAACGTTAAGATGTATTTAGTGCACTGCTAGAATCTGACTGAAATTGAATTGTTAAAATGTGAATAGTGGAAAATAGAACATTTGAGATTGAAACTGATATCATGAAATGGCAGCTTGAGAATCAAAAGTGAAATCGAAAAAGCCTGAAATGGATGAAGGAAAAGCTTAAAGTGAAAAATGCAAAAGGAAAAACAACTTCACTGAGACAGAAAACATTGTTACAACCCAGCTCGTTAGGGTAGGGCAGTAACAAGGTATTTGGGATAAATTAAGGTGGTAAGGACAACTGAATTCAGGTTGAGTCAATTGTTTAATTAAATGAGTTGTCTCCGAAAAAAAAACAACAAAAGGAGGCTATGTAGGTACTGACAAAAAAAACACTTAACAAAAGGAGGTCAGTACCTACATGCTGTACAGGAATGTAGGGTAACCAAACAGATAATTTTCCACCTTAAAGGGTGCCACTCACATTCTGTAGTTCACAAAGTTTTTAACTAACAAGAGTCACTTAAGCAGGCAACCGACAGAAACAGGTAAATTCAACACTCAAGACATTCACAGGGGTACACAACCAACAACAAGGCGAACTGATCACTGGCTCACAGTCACCTTGAACTACAGGAACACAAACTATTAGTAGGCCAGCTGGTGTTGATTGGTGAGTCCTGGTTGGCAGGTTCGGTAGGATCTTCGGCCACACCAATCAGACGCCAGCAACCAGGAAGTGGGTGGTTCCAGGTCCAGGGGAACCAATCCTCAACAGGTGCTTGCAGCGGGGATTTGCATACAGTTCAGACAACTCCAAAACACAACTACTCTAAGGCAGCCAGCGACGGCCGTAACACTCCCCCCCCTTAAATTATAAGCCCCCGTGGCTTGGCAATAAAGCTACTAACTTAGCTAATCTCTACAGTCTCGACAAAGCATCAGCTAGCACATTTTCAGACCCCTTCTTATGTCGGATGTCGAGGTTGAAGTCCTGAACCACCAGTGCCCATCGCATGAGTCGCTGGTTGTGGTTAAACATGCGAGACCGAAAAACAAGGGGATTATGATCAGTGAACACAACAACAGGCAGAGGAGTAGACCCAACATATACCTCAAAGTGCTGTAGTGCTAACAACAGAGCAAGGGCTTCCTTTTCAATGGTGGAATAATTTATCTGGTGTCGGTTGAACTTGCTGGAAAAGTAAGCAACAGGATGGTCAGTACCATCCTCCCCGTCCTGTAACAGGACAGCACCAGCGCCCACTGTACTGGCGCCTACCTCAAGCTTGAAGGGAGCGGTAAAGTCAGGGGCAGCGAGCACAGGAGTGTGACATAACAAGGTCTTTACACTATCAAATGCTACCTGGCATTCTGGGGTCCATACGTAATCCACCTTGGTGCTGAGTAAACTTGTGAGTGGGGAGGCGATACTGGAGAAGTTGCGGCAGTACCTCCTGTAGTATCCAGCCATCCCCAGAAACTGGCGCAGGGCTTTCCGGGTCGTGGGAACAGGGCAGTCCCTGATGGCAACAACCTTGGCCTCAACAGGGCGCACTTGTCCCTGCCCAACCTGCTGTCCAAGATAGGTGACGGTGGCTTTTCCAAATTCGCATTTGACAACATAAAAAAGTATAAAACAGGAAGTTCTCTGATAAAATACTTTAAGCTTAAATTGAAATAGGAAAACATCTTAAGACATCAGAAGCTGAAGAAACCTTAGTTTTTGAAATAAAGTAAAATTTAACCAAGTTAGCATACAATACTTTGTTGTCCATTTTCCTTTTAGAACTTTAAGTCGCATATAAAGTAGGATGACAAGGAAAGTGTCCTATCTCTCATTTTGAATGTTATTCTGTATAGGCTACGGTAATTTTGTATTCTTAATTTTTTTTTGTCTTGTGTACTGACACATATCAATAAACTTGAACTTAACCATCTTTGGCTGGAGCGGGGCCACCTTATAAACACAAGTCTGGTACCTGGCGTATTGGGTGAGTGAGGAAGTTACACCATCGGTCGGTCCAGTGTTGGCCATTGCCCATTACATCCTCAGGAGAATTTTAAGCTTTGCTAAAATGAAAAACCCTGCACACGCAGTGGGCACCTAGTCTTGAAAATAGGGAGATGCACAACCATGCAGCCCAATGACTATGTAAGAAATCCACTGCTTTAAAGTGGTCCAGATGCATCTCTGACATTAACAAGTAAACACTGCTACAGCCAGAACCACAAAACCTATGTTAGCCAGATATGTCAGATGTAAAGGTGTTTAGATCCAACACAGCAGGAAAGGGACCTTCTCTGGGAGCATACACATAGGCCTGCGAGTAAATGTCAACAGTGGATCACATAAAATCCTACATCTACTTACATAATGACCTGATGCGGCCAGAACAGTCTGGAGCTCTGAAGACAGTGGAGATGGTCATGGACTTCAGAAAGCCCAGCCCCACCCTCGCCCATCATCCTGCGTGACTCATCAGTCGCCACTGTGGACTCCTTCCGCTTCCTGGGCACCATCATCTCCCAGGACCTCAAATGGGAGCTGAACATCACCTCCATCACCAAAAAGGCCCTGCAGAGGGATGCATCAATAATACTGATTTCATTGCTACAACCACAGCTTTGTGGTTTATCTAATTATATTAACTTTAACGACAGAAAAGCAGCCAACATTGAGGTCATGGTCTATGGGGTACAACTGAAAATAAGCTTGACTCAATCATTTTGTAAAAGCTCTATGCTGTTACACCTCATGTTGGTGGACCCAAGAGCCAACACAGAACACAGCAGGCGATGTGAAAGTGAGCAGTTTTTTATAAACAAACGTGTTGATGAAGAGGTATGTGGTTGGGCAGACTCGTCATAGATGCTGGTAGTCTTACCACCATGGGGTTAATAACCTTGTTAATCACAAACGGATCCACAAAACAAGGTGCCAACTTATGTCTGGTGCACACCGATTTTAAAATCTTAATCAATTTTAAAAACATGGGATACCACAGACATAACAAACCGATTTTAATTTTAAGAACGCACATACAGGAGGAAGGGTGATGAAGCCAAAATGCAGCACAGTCCAGTGACACTTTTATCCAAAGTGACTTACAATTGCTATACAAGCAACAAGGGTTAAGTGTCTTGCTCAGGGACACAATGGTGGATGGGTAACAGTGGGGGATTGAACCCGGAGCTCTCACACCAAAGGCAGGTATCTTATCCATTGCACCATCGCCACCCTATATGCACTGCTCAAAAAAATAAAGGGAACACTTAAACAACACAATGTAACTCCAAGTCAATCACACTCCTGTGAAATCAAACTGTCCACTTAGGAAGCAACACTGATTGACAATCAATTTCACATGCTGTTGTGCAAATGGAATAGACAACAGGTGGAAATTATAGGCAATTAGCAAGACACCCCCAATAAAGGAGTGGTTCTGCAGGTGGTGACCACAGACCACTTCTCAGTTCCTATGCTTCCTGACTGATGTGTTGGTCACTTTTGAATGCTGACGGTGCTTTCACTCTAGTGTGTAGTAATGGTGTGGGGTGGCATTTCTTTGGGGGGCCGCACAGCCCTCCATGTGCTCGCCAGAGGTAGCCTGACTGCCATTAGGTACCGAGATGAGATCCTCAGACCCCTTGTGAGACCATATGCTGGTGCGGTTGGCCCTGGGTTCCTCCTAATGCAAGACAATGCTAGACCTCATGTGGCTGGAGTGTGTCAGCAGTTCCTGCAAGAGGAAGGCATTGATGCTATGGACTGGCCCGCCCGTTCCCCAGACCTGAATCCATTTGAGCACATCTGGGACATCATGTCTCGCTCCATCCACCAACGCCACGTTGCACCACAGACTGTCCAGCAGTTGGCGGATGCTTTAGTCCAGGTCTGGGAGGAGATCCCTCAGGAGACCATCCGCCTCCTCATCAGGAGCATGCCCAGGCGTTGTAGGGAGGTCATACAGGGACGTGGAGGCCACACACACTACTGAGCCTCATTTTGACTTGTTTTAAGGACATTACATCAAAGTTGGATCGGCCTGTAGTGTGGTTTTCCACTTTGATTTGAGTGTGACTCCAAATCCAGACCTCCACGGGTTGATAAATTTGATTTCCATTGATAATTTGTGTGATTTTGTTGTCAGCACATTCAACTATGTAAAGAAAGGAGTATTTAATGAGATTATTTCATTCATTCAGATCTGGGATGTGTTATTTTAGTGTTCCCTTTATTTTTTTTAGCAGTGTATATAATATACTGTATAATAAAATCATAATTTACTGTATGTGTTGATTATATTTTGTATTATGAATCTGAATGTGCAAGGTAACTGGTAACTAAAGTTATCAAATGAATGTAGTGGAGTAAAAAGTGCAGTATTTCCCTCTGAATTGTTGTGGAGTAGAAGTATAGTTGCAGACAATGGAAATACTCAAGTAAAGTAACACTTCTATTGGTTAACAGTATTTTAACATATACCTACAGTAGGCTACCTGACTGCAGATGTCACACTGCCGCAGGCAGGGAGGTGACAGTTGTGTGTTTGGTTTTGTCTGTCTGTGTGTGGTCTCTGTCTCTCCCTCTGGCCTCACCTTTCCTCCCTCTCCCTCAGGGCGGAGTTGTGGGCTGCACCACTGGGCGGTTCTCCCCAACTGCAGGCAATCTGCTGCTCACACACCTGTCTCCTGTCATCAGGACTGGCTTTTATACCCTGCCATCTTCTCAGTTCCTTGCTGAATTATTAAGTCTAGTTTGTGAGTGAAACTATGACCAGCTTTATCCTGCCTCCTGTTGCTTCTGTACCTGTTTTTTGACTCTGTATTCCTGTGCCCTGCTTAGTGTTCTTGGAGAACCCTGCTCTGCTCTCGTGCTGCTCTGTTACGGAAGACGGCTGGAGATTCCCCATCGCAAACTCACTTCTCTGCCAGCCCTATTTAACTGCCCTGCCAGGCCTCGCACTTACCTGCCACGCCACGCCACACCAGAGGAACCTTACCCCCAGCATCAAGCCTATCTCACCATATCTTGTCAAACTGTGTGAAAATCCTCCTGAGCCATGTTCTTGTCTGCATCTGGGTTCTGAGCCATGAGACAATAAAGCAAATTGTGGGCTATTCATTATTTATTTAGTTCTTTCAATCACAGGTGGAGACCATACATAAAGTGATCAAGAAAAAAGGTCCTCAAGTATAGACTTACAAGGTATGTGTGTATGTGTGTATATTTAAATGATTAATTATGTTGTTGGGGATGGAAACTTGTGAGGACAAAAAGCTGGTCCCCACAAGGATACCTACTTTTTCTTTCTTTCTTTTTTTTTTTTTTTTTTAACTTTTTCCAAATAAACTACCTTGGTGTTTCTTCTGAAGTGTTCTTCCTCTAAAACTATAGATGGATTGCAACATATATGAAGATTATAGATCCAGTAGGCAGCTGAGCAACAGAGAACCCTATGAAAAGAGAAGAGGAGGAGAACTAGAGAGAAAAAGATTGGAACACAGCTATGTTTGGCCACATAAACAAACAGAAGGTTTTCAGAAAGTTCACAGTAAGTAGGTAAGTCCATGTTTGTCAGTAGGTAAAACATTGACTTAGAACTTTGCTTAAATGATCCTATTAAGTAGGTAAGTCCATGTTTGTCAGTAGGTAAAACATTGACTTAGAACTTTGCTTAAATGATTCATCGCGACTGAAACCGACCTGCTGGATGAGAGTATATGGTATGGTATAAGGGAATCCCAAAAGGTACATTTTAAATTTGTAAAGGCCCCAACGGAGTCAGACTGATATCAGTAGGAAGGTTATGTATGAGTTTGACAAATAGCTTTTGTTTCACACTTTGAACAAGGATTTTCATCTTTAATGTTTAAACCTCAACTCTTGGTTATGAAAAGCTTTTAACTGGCGAGGCAGTAGTTAGGGAAGCCCTGTATCTAACTGTGTTACAGTGACTGACACTTATTTTATTAAATATCGCCTACTATTAATTTTTTTTGGCCTCTGTGTCATTTAGCTTCAGTTTGACAGAATACTTGAACTTATGTTTGCATTGTGCAACACAGCCCTGTGCAAACAGAATTACATTAGGATTCAAGTAAATGATTTATTTAATAGCAGCCAGCATTACATTTACATTACATTTATTCATTTAGCTGATGCTTTTATCCAAAGCAAATTACAACTGCTATCGATTGCTGTTCTGAAAAAGTTACAGCTTATAGGACGAAGACAGGAAACACCTACAAGCGAAAGAGGTGGCATAAGCTAGATAACAGTTCTGGTCTATCTCTGAGTGACATTTGTCAAGCTTTTATCGTCAGTCAATTCTGGATTCATTGTAGTGCATGTATTGACTCCTTGAAAGTAAACAATCATTAATTAAGACTCCAGTGACTCTGTCGTTCTTTGGAAAAGATTTTCTTAACTACTTGGTCCTTCGAGCCAGATCCCAATATCCTTCCTCCAGCCAGGTTTGGGACCTGAAACCGTGCACAGGGGGAGTCAGAGATTCCTCGGACCTCCTGCTGAATTGCTGTGACAACAGAGGCCAGGACCCGCTGGAAAGAAGAGGGTGACAGGATCCTACAGAGGAGACAGACTTACTGGACTCCCAGAGACCGGATTGTAGGTGAGGATAAAACATATAGTTACTTGAAAGACAGAAACTTGGTATTCAGATAGTGATGATATTCTGTTCCATTGGCTTGTTTCAGAGTGTTCATGAACCGACTCACTGTTTTAACCACACCCTTGACCTTCTTCTGGTATACGGTATTGAAATTGAACATTTAATAGTGTTCCCACAGAATCCCTCTTTATCGACCACTGTTTTATAACTTTTGAGTTTGTATTACTGAACTACACGCCATTGGGCAAAACATTTCTATACAAGATGTCTGTCTGTAGCTAAATTTAAGGATGCGATTCCATCAGCTCTAAATTCATTATCAAGTCACAAAGTAACGGAGGACTCCTATGCTAATTCCACTCCCTCCCAAATCGATCATCTTGTTGATAGTGCTGCAGGCTCGCTGCGAATGACACTCGACTCTGTAGCCCCTCTAAAAAAGAAAATAATAAAGAAAGCAGTTGCTAAACAGCTGTGTGACTTTCTACAGAGCAATAGTTTATTTGAAGATTTTCAGTCAGGATTTAGAGTTCATCATAGCACAGAGACAGCACTGGTGAAAATTACTAATGACCTCCTAATTGCATAAGACAAAGGACTTGTCTCTGTACTGGTTTTATTAGATCTTAGTGCTGCATTTGATTCCATTGACCATCAGCTCCTATTGCAGAGACTGGATCATTTCATTGGCATTAGCTGGTTTAAGTCCTATTTATCAAATTGATTTCAGTTTGTACATGTTAACGATGAGTCCTCCATGCACGCCAAAGTTAGTCATGGAGTTCCTCAAGGATCTGTTCTTGGGGCCCAAGCACCTCCGTGACGCATTATCTAAAGAAATAGTTTCCCTTGATGGCATCGCCCTGGCCTCCAGCACCACTGTGAGGAATCTTGGAGTTATCTTTGATCAGGACATGTCGTTTAAGTCTCACATTAAGCAAATTTCAACGACCGCCTTTTTTCACCTATGTAATATTGCGAAAATAAGGAACATCCTGTCTAAAAATGATGCAGAAAAACTAGTCCATGCATTTGTTACTTCTAGGCTGGATTACTGAAGAATGCTGCAGCATGTGTTCTGACAGGAACCAGGAAAAGAGATCATATTTCTCCTGTCTTAGCTTCTCTGCATTGGCCTCCAGTAAAATCCAGAATAGAATTTAAAATCATTCTTCTACCTACAAAGCTCTTAATGGTCAGGCACCATCTTATCTTAAAGAGCTCATAGTACCTTACTACCCCACCAGAGCACTGCGCTCCCAGAATGCAGGGTTACTTGTGGTTCCTAGAGTCTCCAAAAGTAGACTAGGAGCCAGAGCGTTCAGCTATCAAGCGCCTCTCCTGTGGAACCAGGTTCCAGTTTGGGTTCAGGAGGCAGACACCATCTCCACATTTAAGACTAGGCTTAAGACTTTCCTCTTTGACAAAGCTTATAGTTAGGACTGGCTCAGGTGAGTCCTGAACCATCCCTTAGTTATGCTGCTATAGGCCTAGACTGCCGGGGGACTTCCCATGATGCACCGAGCTCCTCTCTCCTCTACTTTCTCTCCCTCTGTATGCAACCTCATCCCATTATTGCGTGTTACTAACTCAACTTTTCCCCTTTCCGGAAGTCTTGTGCTTTCTCGTCCCTCTCCTCTTTCCTCCTATCACTTCCTGCAGGTGTTTCTGGCTCTGGAGCTGTGGAGTCTGGATCTGTGGTTGTGGGTCACCTGCTGCTCCCGTGTTCCTGCTTGACACCCTCTGCTACAACAACTATTGTTACTAGTCCTATTGTTATAATCATTAACATTACGATTATTATCATTAACACTACTATAAATATCTGTACCATTATTCATTTAGTCTATAGCAACATCACCTTTACTGTCTGTACCTCTGTGTGTATATTGTGTAGGCTGCCTCCCTCCCCTCTCTGTCCTTCCATCCCTCTCTCTTTCTCTCACTGTTCCTCTCTCTCTCTCTCCTTCACCCCCAACCGGTCGAGGCAGATGGCCGCCCACCCTGAGCCATGGTTCTGCTCGAGGTTTCTGCCTCTTAAAAGGAAGTTTTTCCTTGCCTCTGTCGCCTAGTGCTTGCTCTTGGTGGGAATTGTTGGGCTTCTGTAAATAACAGCACAGAGTATGGTCTAGACCTGCTCTTTTATGAAAAGCGCTGTGAGATAACTGTTGTTGTGATTTGGCGCTATATAAATAAAATTGAATTGAATAATCAGAGAAGCATAGTCCCAACTACTGACTAGAAAAGTAATGAGGAAAGATAGGGAATGTGGGGTTCTGGGAGTCTAGGACTCTGCAGTAGTCCATAGCCTGTGAAGAAGGCTACAGGAATTAATAACTCCGTGTGCATGTTGAAATTTCTGATGTAGGCTAAGAGTAATGGAGAGGAGAGCAAACTTCAGGAGCTTAACAGACTGGTGACTGGTGGTGCAGCTGTTGGTGTACAGGGAGAAGAGCAGAAGGGAAAGAACGCAGCCTTGAAGGGAACCGGTTCTAATGGTCCTGGAATCAGAGACTGCAAACTCTGAGGAGTGGGAGGAGGGGATGGTGGACTGGGGCTGAAGCTGAACGGAGGAGTCATGGGGGATGGTGTCCAAATGACTCTCAAAGTGGCTGTAGAACTGGTTCAGATCATTTGCCAGGCAAGAGTCGTTGATGGAGTGGGGGCTTTGGGTTTGTACTTTGTGATCTGTCTGAAACCCCTCCAGACAGAAGTGGCGTCGTTTGCAGAGAACTGGTCCTTCAGCCTCTCGTTTAGCTTCTCGCACCTCCTTTCTAAACCTGTACTTTAACGCCCTGCATCCGGTCCTGTCTCCACTCCTAAATGTCTCCTCCTTTTCCAACCTAAGCTGTCGGAGTTTGGCTCTAAACCAGGGTTTGTCATTGTTATAACTCACCCTGGTGTGTGTTGGTGTACAGCTGTCCTCACAGAAACTGATGTAGGACGTCACAGCATCAGTAAACTCATCCAGACTATTGGTAGCAGTCCTGATAACCTCCCAGTCAGTGCAGTCCAAATCTGCAGAGTGAACCAGGTGATTCATAACTTGTTCCTGATAGGAGAAATTGGACCTGTTACAACCTTCCCCTCTCTCCCCTACTATGGGGAGGAGGGATATTGAGTGACGTGAACAGGAGTTTTGATAAAACTGCTCAGCTATTTTGATACAAACTTAATTCCATTCTTCAGTCAATATTTAGAAATCTTTGTGAGATAGTTTGTGGTATATTGTATGTATATAGCTTTGCTCTGTGCCTTTCTCTCCTCCTTCTGCTTACTAACCCCACATGCACACACCACGTGATCTCTGAAGCTAACCAGACCTGTGACCCACAGTAGGCTAGCATCAGAGTGCGTCCCCATTTTTTTTAGTTCAGGGGAGAGTGATTTTCCGCCCTCTTGATCTTGAAATGACATGATTTGACCGGCCATCTTGATTCCAAAGTCAGCTGGCCTCTAGCACAACCGGATCTGGCACCACGTGGTTGGATCCATCCCCCTCCTTTGTCTCTCACACACCCACACACACACACACACACACACACACACACACACACACACACACACACACACACAAATGCTTGCTGGATTGTTGTATATTTTTGTATGATTTGTTTATTGACTTTATTTCATTTTTGCTTACAATAGTTAATAGTGATTTACTTAAAGTTATTGATCATTGATCTATGCTTGAGTTGAAAAAATCCTATTATAATTTTAAGAAGTCGTTGCCTGTGATTATTTATGTATAATGTTGTAGTAAGAGTTGGTTGCCACGGCCTGTGTGCGGATTCACCCTTCTGTGTTTGCCATCTATAGGTGGACAAACCCCATTTTAGACTGATCATACTTGGCTCATATTTGGTTATTGGTCCCTGATCCCAGGGTGGTGCCCCGTATTTATTCATTATAATTAATAATTTTCTTAATTGGTTTCAGGTGAGATGTCCTCCCAAGTCAGACTGCGGCTGCTGCCGAGCGCCAGGTGTTTGTTTGACGAGCCCATTCAGGTAAAGGTGGCCGGGCTGAGGTCGAGACAGGTGGTCTCCATGAAAGCCAGATCAACTGACGAGAAAGGAGTGGTGTTCAGCTCCTCAGCCACCTACAGGGCTGATGGGAGCAGGGAGATCGACCTGAAGAGAGACCCCTCGCTCAGTGGCAGCTACGTCGGGGTTGAACCCATGGGTCTACTGTGGTCGATGAGGGCTGACACTTTGCACAGAAAGTTTCAAAAAACAAATGCACTAAACCCCCACGTGGTGAAGTTCTCTGTGCACTAGGAGGAAGGGGAGGAAAGGATGCTGGCAGAGGCAACCAACGAGAGGCTTCTGATTGGAGACGGGGTCAGCCGGCTCCCTGTCAAAGAGGGGAATATCCGCGGAGTCCTGTTTACTCCCCCAGGTAGGAGATTCATCATAGTTTAATTACAACCTAATAGTGTTTTATTATGAATATATAACAACTGTTAATTTACTTGGCCATAGCAATAGCTACAAGCAGCCATTCTGACTTGTCATAGCATGAAAAGCACAGGTTTTATTAACAATGGCTCCGATACCTTTAGATGTCCCAGTAGGCCCAGACAGTGAGCCAGCATGCACAATACCAGGACCCTGAAACCAGTTATGATAAATGTAATGCAGCCATCATTAGTTATTTATGTCCATATCCATAGATTAATCAGTTATGAAAATAAATAATGATTGCAGCCCTATAACTTGTTTATGTAATGACGATTTTACAAAAGTTCAATGACTCTGCATCAAAAGGATGCACAGTATGTAAGATGTAGGATTTTATATGTTCAATTCAATTTTATTTATTTAGTGCCAAATCACAACAACAGTTATCTCACAGCGCTTTTCATAAAAGAGCAGGTCTAGACCATACTCTGTGATGTTATTTACAGAAGCCCAACAATTCCCACCAAGAGCGAGCACTAGGCGACAGAGGCAAGGAAAAACTTCCTTTTAAGAGGCAGAAACCTCGAGCAGAACCAT